AACAGGTGGCACTGGAATACTGGATATCCACGTGCAAAAACAAAAATAAATCATTATAGACCTTTTCCATACTTTTTACAAAAGTTAACTCAAAATGAATCATGGACCTAAACATAAAACTCAAAGCTATAAAACTTCTAGATGATAATATAGAAGAAAATCTAAGTGATTCTGGGTTTGTAATAACTTTTCGGATACAGTGCCAAAAGCAAAATCCATAAAAGAAAAAAAACTGATAAGTTGAACTTTTATTAAAAGTTTAAAAATAAAAATACCTCATGTTTTGTAAAAGATACTGCTTCAGACAGTGAAATGACAAGGCACATACTGAGAGAAAAGAATATTTGCACAACACCTGTCTGATCGAAGTCGGGTATCCAGAATGATATAGAACTCTTAAAACTGAACAAGAAAAAACAACCTGAATGAAAAATGGGGAAAAGGCCTGAATGGACACCTCACCAAAGAAAACACCGATGACAAATAAGCATGTGAAGAGATGTTCAGCATTATATGTAATTAAGGAATTACAAATTTAGATAACAATGATTCTTCTACACACCTACTAGAACAGCTAAAATCCAAAAACACTGGCAACGATCTGGTGAGCAGACAGAGAGCAACAGAAAGTCTCATTTTTCGTTAGTTAAAATAGAAAATACAGCCACTTTAAAATATAGTTTAACATATTCTAAACATATGATCTAGCAACCATACTCCAATGAGTTAAAAATTTATGTCCCCCTAAAGCCTGTATGCAAATGTCTGTAACTGTTTGCCAAAACTTGGAAAAAAACCAAGATGTCCTTCAATAGGTGAAGGATAAATGTGACTGTGATATAACCATAAAATGGAATATTATTATTCAGTGATGAAAGGAAATGAATTATTATGACCCACACCTCACAAAACAGAGCTTTAACTGCATATCACTAAGTGAAAGAAGCCAATCTGAAAAGTTCACTCTATGATTCTAACTATCTGACAGTCTAGAAAAGGCAAAACTGTGAATACAGTAAAAAGATCTGTGGTTGCCAAGGGTCACAGGGAGAGAGAAAAAGATGGGTGAATAGGTGAACCACTGGGGATTTTTAGGGGAGTGAAACCTACTATAAATGGCAGGTGCATGAGATTAAACACTTCTCAAAACCCACAAAATATACAGCACCTGAATGTGAACTATAGACCTAGTTAATTATAATGCATCCACATTGGCTTTATTATAGAATGTGCACTACACTAGTGCAAGATGTTAACAGAGAAAATGGAAAACAGAGTAAGAGGATCTGGAAACTCCAATTTCTGCTTATTTTTCTGTAAAGCTAAAGCTGCTCTATAACATAGTATTACATAAAATTTTAATTAAGAGAATTATTAACTTTATAAGGAACTTTTTGCAGTAAGAGAAATATCTATACCTCGATCATGTTGGTAGTTATGTATGTGTATACATTCATCAAAATTCATTTATTTGTACACTTACACTTAATACATTTCACTATGCAAATATACATTTCCTGGTATGTAAATTTTACCACAATTGTAAAATTGTTCAACTCTTTATTATCATTTGTTGCTTGTTTTGGCCACAGTCAACCAAATGCATCACTGAAAACCTAAAAGAAAGCAGGACCCAGCTACAAGTTGAGTGTCTTTGGCCTTGAGGAGAAAAAGGAACTGCCACGTTTTTGAGTGACTCAATGGTTGGAGAATAGCTCTCTCAAATGTATTCTCTGGAAGAGCTAGTCTTCTTTCAGATTAGCTTACATGCAGAGGGAAAATTCTAGTTCCGGGTTTCAGATTTAGTCATAAGACCCCACACCTTGCCACCAAACCTGCTCTGAAATGCTATCTGCATGGATAGCTCTTCTGAAACAGTCTAGAAGTCACTAGTTTCCAGCATCCAGACATTCTTACCCAGCAGAATTTACTTAGGTAAAGGTACAATATTTCTCATGAGGCTGTAATAGTGACATCTTTGTGTACCTTAATGATGACAAGAATGAAAAGATAAGCGGGGATCCAGAAAGTAACTACTGGATTTATGTAAAAAAGCTCTCTGAATTCATCTCTCCTGAATACTCACTTTTGTGCTATTTATGGCTTTTCCACTACCTCTTTCTGGTTAGTATCCAGAAATACTATGTGCTCAGCAACTGGTCACATCTGTGTAGGAGCTCAGGCTTCCCAGGAATATGTACCCTCTTAAGCACCACAGGAGACATTGTGTTACAAAGCCATGGTCAGTGAGTACCAAATAACAGGGGAATGATTCTGATGGGAGGTATCCTGACTCTCCTATTTTACACCTATCCATGTGACAGAGCCTAAGACCCTCCATAACTACAAGCCTCATACCCCTTGTTTCTCAGACTTGTTTTTCACTGTGAATGCTATTTCACACTAAGGACACACCCAGCTTTTATGTGGCCTCAAGTAAATGAAGAACAAGGTTGATGTTGCTCACCACCACTAAAACCAGTTCCAACTCTCTCCAACAAGAGGGACACAGATGGAAGATACTCATGGGAAACTCACACTCCTTGGAGACCAATTCCATCTTCCATCAGGAAAACCCATATGGGGAAGTGACCTATCCTGTCTAATAGGAGGGACTTACTGGAGATTACCTGACTATCTATAAATTAGTGGGTATTCCTAGCATCTGAGTCTCAGACTCAATGCAAATGCAAATATCCTTCTCTGATATTTTGGCCACAACCTAGACACCAAGTATTTATTTCATGATATCATTCTGCTTTGAGGAAGTATTTATAATCCTTTTGGTTTTGATCCCTTGCCTCCTCCTCCTTTTTATGGCCACATACTCTTCCCTCCAGTCTCATGTTTGATGCTGTCCGTTGAGCACAGTCGTCTGATTTTTTTCACAACAATTTGCATTTTCCCTTCTGATTAAGTGTAATTCCACCTCTCAACGTGTCTGCTTGGTCCAGCCTAGCCCCTGCAATGCCTGGTATTACCTCCTTATGGCAGATATTTTCACCCTGACATGAAATAGAAACCACATATAAGAAACTAATATATGAGTCCACCATCCACTGTAAGGACAACACCATCTTAACAATTTTCACCTCTTTCCCCTCCATAAAGTCCTGATCTAGTGACATTCATGATAAAGGTCTGTAGAGAGCAGAGTGAGAGAATACCTAAGGATGAACAACTTAGGATAGGGTACAGAAAAAAGGTGTGTGTAATGCTGGTAAATGTAGGAAGTTTTAAATAATACATTTGTCATGCTCTGAGTTCTAGTCTCTGCATCTTTTCATTTATGATTTCTATCTGTCCCTGACACTAACTTGTCTTCTCTTGGCTGGATCCATGAACCTTCAGGCTATCCTTCTTGGCTTACCCCCTCCACTTGGCATTTTGATAATAGCCTTTATTGTCTCTCCCCAATTTGCTCCCCACCCTGATTTTCCAATATGGGACACTGATGTCTTTCTCCATGAACTGGTTCAGTTCTCACTTGACTACTATGCTCCTTAACACCCCAGTTCCTCTTACCAGCAATAAAGTACTTAGAGTAGGGCCAATACCCTCTATGACAAATTTAGAAAGGTGGTTAAGTAATGGGATAAGGGAGTTAAGCAAAGAGATAGGAAAAAGTGGAAAAAGTGAAAATATCAGGGAAGAACCATGGAGGAAGAGGATGAATTATAAAGTTCAGGTAATATTTGGGGGATAAGACCATTGAAAGAATGAGGATGAAGTCAATGGAGTTCCATGAAGAACAAAAATAGGTGAGAGCTGAAAATAGGGAAAGAGAAGGGCTATGCTGTTCAGAGGTGAGGTGTGTAATAGGAGAAGGTAGGAAAGATGGGATTCAGGGCCATTCCAAGACTAAATTATAAGATGGGCAATCAAAGCGATTAGCAAATGACTGCCATGAAGGGTGCTAAAATAGTTCATGCATCCAAGAAGGGTATATTCTAAAAGATGGCTTATATAAGTACAAAAAAATAAAGCAAGGTAGATCATGAATTATATCGAGAAAAGTACAAATAAAGGGTGGTGGGGATACACAAAAAGATATCATAACATGTGACACTTAGCGATCTGCCTTATACGGGTAGGTGCTCAAAGCCATCTCAGGAGAGAAGCGGGCTTGCAAAGCACTGTAGTACATATGGGATTTTCAATTCCACTAGCCTTCAATTCTCTAATTTCAATACTGGATGCACCTTAGAATTCTCTGAGAAGCTTTTAAAACTACTGATGGCCTTCCTTCCCCTTCAGCAACTCTAATGTAATTGGTTGGGAGTGAGGTGTGGATATTAGTGTTTTCCGAGCACTCCCAGTAATGCTAGTGAATAGTCAGGGCTGAGAACCTCTGGTCTTTATGTTTTCCCCCGTTGGAAGGTGAGGAGCTTAGAAATCAAGGGGGGCGGGAAATAGAAATCTGGAAATAGGAGGTAGAGAGTCTAGATCTAACACCAGTGCCCATTAATAAATCTCCAATAATTTCTTCCCATCAATGCAATAAAAATGGAATTTAAACTCAGAGTAATGCATTATTTCTACCTCTTATCTCCCTCAACAATTTCAAGACTAAAATTTAGAGGTACTTTAATAGGTAGTTACTACATACATATGTTTAATTACCAAAAATATTCAGCAATCAAGAGAAAATCATGTTATTTTAAATAACGCATTATATAATGTAAAGTCTACTTATAGTAATGAATTCATGCATTTTGACAGTTTATCTCATTTGTTTCTGAATCTCTGCAGTTAAGTATTATCTTTGCAAATGACTGATTTAATATCACAGCTTCCTGTGTGATGAGCCATTTATTCCTCTTTTATTTTTTGTATATTTCTTTTGCAATATTTTTGTATATTTCTATATCATTTTGTATATTTCTATACTTTTGTATATTTCTATATCATTGTTGGCATGCTAAAATCTGTTATATGATGAGTAAATATTATTATTTTAATGTAAGAAGAAAAATCTCTGCTTTTATTTCCATAAATAGCCTGGAGGTTCCTGGATCCTGCCTACTTTTAACCCATTGTTTAACTGACCTGATGATGGAACAGAAATAAAATATATGGAAGAACATAAATAAATATATGAGGAATTGGTGCTGGGCTCTTGTTGCTTCTAAGGGGATGAAGAAGACATAGAAGAGTAAACTGCAGCTTCTAGCATCATAACTGCTAAATAAATGTTTATTGAAAGAATGAAAAAAATGGATGAATGAATTATAAAACTGGAAAATGACTATAATGATCTGTAAAATCATTGAGTACTTACCATATACCAGGCACTGTTTTAGCCCTTTATGGATGTCATCATTTTTAATCAATACACTAATTCTATTACATAGGAACTATTTCTTGTTCTCCATTTTACAGATGAAGAAACCGAAGTTCAGAAAGATTAAGTAATTAATAGTATCAAGGCCCTGTCCCTTTTATAGCTCTGTAGCATGTTCCTAATTTCATAGCCCTGGGGCAGGTCACCTAATTTCATACCATAATAGCCACTCTTACTGAGCCAGCCAAGGTGGTCTATTTGTCTTTTCTGTTTTTATTGCCACCTGCTGGTGATGGTATCTGCTTTTACACTATGATTGTCTCTTCCAGCTCCTTTTATTTGTGACTTCTTATTCCAAAGGTTGTTGGCACCAATTGTCAGTGTACCTCTTCAGCCTTAACTTGGAATAAGAATAGGTCAGAACAGGCTGTCGATTTCAAACACAACATCAAGACCAGTCCAGTGCTTGGGTTTCAGGCCTGTGGATTTCTGTCTGGATTTTCACCCCGGTTATCTTAACCTTGTAAGCAAAAGCAAAATCCTGCTCATGTTCTGTCCAGCCAGTTTACAGTTTATTGACATTATGGAAGCCTTCAATTCATAAATTCTGTTGTATTTGGTCTAATCTAAAAAGATGTGATGCTAGCTGTAGGTTTTTTTTTTTTTTTAGAGAGAGAGAGAATTTTTTTTTAATATTTATTTTTTAGTTCTCAGCGGACACAACATCTTTGTTGGTATGTGGTGCTGATGATCGAACCCGGGCCCCTCGCATGCCAGGCGAGTGCACTACCGCTTGAGCCACATCCCCAACCCAGCTGTAGGTTTTTAAAATAATAATTTTTTTCCAATTTGCTGTGAATGGGCTTTTTTTTTTTTTTTTGTCAGTGCTTTTTTCCTACATCAGTTAATGTGGTCATGTGGGGTTTTTTTTCTTTAGTCTTTTGATATAATGGATTATACTGATTGGCTTTTGAATGTTGATCAACCCTTGAATATCTGAAATAAAGCCCACATTTTCATAGTATAGAATTATTTTATACATTAATTCATTTTGCTAACATTTTGTTGAAGAATTTTGTGTCTAACTTCATGAGAATTATTGGCCTATAGTTTTATTTTTCTGGTTCTGGTATTGTGGGAATGCCTATCTCATAAAATGAGTTGGGAAGTATCCTCTCTTCCATTTATTCCTATTTTCTGGAAGAAACTATGCAAAATTGGTGTTAAATACTTATGTAAATATTTGGTAAGTTTTCCGGTGAAACTGTCAGGACCTGGAGATGTGTTTTCATTCCAGATTTCTATGTATTGTGTTTTCATTTTCATTCCACTTTCTAGTTTCCCTTATGATTTCTTGGACTCTGTGGGTTATTTACAAGTCTGTTGCTTATTTTACAAGTTGTTGGTAATTTTGTAGATATTTTTCTGCTACTAATTTCTAGTTTAACTCCATTTTTTCAGACCATACATTGCTGACTTTAATTCCTTTAAATTTTGAGATTTGTTGAATATCCCAGAATATGTTCTATCTAACTGTATGTTTCAAATGAACTTTTTAAAAAAGAGTTATGTGTTCTGCTGTTTGGAGTAGAGTGTTCTGTAAATCTAAATCATTGTCACGTTGGTTGACAGTATTCAAAGTTCCCATAACCTGACTGTCTACTTGTCACATCAGTTACCTATACTGATGAGTGGAAATCTGTGATAAAGATTTCTATTCAGCTCTAACAATTTTTGCTGCATGTACTTTGATATTACGTTACTAGGTAAAGGCATATTGAGGTTGTTATGTCCTCTTGGTACACTGATATCTTTGTCATTATGAAATATTCCTCTATAGGCAGGGGTTGTGGCTCAGTGGTAGAGTGGTTGCCTAGCATGTGTGAGGCACTGGGTTCGATTCTCAGCACCATGAATGAATAAATAAATAAAGGTCCATTGACTCCCCCACTCCAAAAAAAAAAAAAAAGAAAAGAAAAGAAAGAGATATTCCTCCTTTTTCCCCTAGTAATATTCCTTACTTGGAAGTTTGCTTTGTCTTAACATAGTCATCCTCTATTTCTCTTATTGATACATGAGTCTGTCCTTTCCCATCCTATTACCTTTAACTGGTTTCTTTTTATTTTAAATGGGATTCTTATAGATTGCATATAGCTGGTTTTCCATTTTAAAATTCAGTGTGATAAATTCTGCCTTAAATTGTATTATTTAGGTCCTTTATATTTAATGCAAAACTGTTTTAAATAGTCAATAATTTTCCAGATTAAAAGTTTAAAAAATTATTTTTATTCCACTTATTCAGCATTTGTGCATTCTTTTTTCCTTTTTCTTCCATTTGAAGAATGCCCTTTAACATTTCTTGTAGTGAAGTTTTGTTAGTGATGAATTCTCTTAACCTTTGTTTGGAAAAAATATCTTTAGTTTATCATCCTTTTGATACATATTTTACTGAGAACAGAATTGTAGGTTGATAGATTTTTACACCCATTAAGTACTTTTAAAATGTCATTCCTTTGATTTTTGACTTATGGGTTTTTGAAATGAAGTGTATAGTCATTCTTTTTTAGTATGTATGCCTTTGCTCTATTTATTTTATTTTTTGAAAATATTTGTTGTTTAGTTGTAGTTGGACACAATACCCTCATTTCACTTATTTATTTTTATGTGGTGCTGAGGATTGAACCCAGGGTCTCTCACGTGCAAGGCGAGTGCTCTACCGCTGAGCCATAACCCCAGCCCCCTATTTATTTTTTTAATATGGTGCTGAGTATCAAACCCAGTGACTCATACATGCTAGGTAAGCACTACTGCTGAACCCCAGCCCCAGCCCCACTTAGTCATTCTTCATTCCTCTATATATGATGGTGTTTGGGAGGCAGCTTTTTAACACATTCTGCTTCTCAGAAATGTGATTAAGAAGTGCCTTAGTATAGTTCTTTTTTTGTACTACAGTTGAATCCAGGGGTGCTTTACCACTGAACTACATCCCCAGCCCTTTTTAGTTTTTATTTTGAGACAGTGTTTAGCTAAGTTTTCAATCTTTTTTTCTTTATTTCCTGTTTGGGATCATTTTTACTATTATGTCTCCAAGTTAAATGGTATTTTCTTCTGCTATGTCTAATCTGCTGGGTATTTTTCATTTAAGATATTGTAGTTTTCATCTCTGGAAGTTCCATTTGAGTATTATTTCCTTTCATTTCTTTATTATGATTTTAAATTTTTGTCTTTTAGAATTTTTAATTGACATAAATTTATACATATTTATGAGGTTCTCTCTTCATTATGTTTATGTTTATCTACATTAAACATACAATCTTATGTTTATGTAGGTATTCATTATGTAGAGAATGTATCCCCTACATTGTTGACCATGGGAACATATTTATAATAGCTATTTTAGTAGCTTTCCTATTTCATCTCTGTCATACCTAAGTTTCTTTCTACGATTGATTAATTTTTTCCTTGTTATGGATTCTGTTTCCCTGTATGTCTAGTAGTCTTGTTTTGATCTCAGAAAATTGTGGATTTTTACTTTTGGGGGGTAATAATTTAGGTTTTTTTTTTTTTTTTTTTTGTTACCAGAGATTGAACTCAAGGGCACTAATCCACTGAACCACATCCCTAGCCCTTTTTTGTATTTTATTTAGAGACAGTGTCTCACTGAGTTGCTTAGGGCCTTGTTAAGTTGGTGAGGCTAGTTATGAACTCACAATCCTCCTGAGATTACAGGGGTGTGCTGCTGTGCTCAGCCTAGATTATTTGTAAAATTCATTTGTTCTTTTTAGTTATACATGAGGTTTTTTCATTTTTTTAATTCTGGATTCTGTTGAATTCCTTTAAGAATATTGCCCTTTGGTCTAAAATTGAGTTAAGTTATTTGGAGTCCATTTGATCCTTTTGAAGGTTGCTTTCAAGCTTTTTAGGGTAAGAGCAGCTTTTAGGTTAAGGGTAATATAGCCCCCCTACTCAGATAATCTTCTTGTGAGGATTCTATCCTGTGCCTGGTGTTTATCTGCATGATTGTATGGTGGTTCTCTACTCAGTCTTGGGAGTCTCACTGAAACACATGAAGATCAGGATTCAGCCAATGATTTAAAGAGACCCCAGTGAAGAACTCCAGAAATTTCACCCTGTACACCCCTTTTGTCTAGTATTCTTCCCCATGAATGTCGCCTTCTCATTCTCCCAACCACAGTCTCTTTTTTCCTCAACACATGGAGACAGCTTAGTTCTGTTTAGATTTTACCTTTACTGTATACTGGAAGTTGTTTCCAAGTAGTAATATAGAATGAAAGCTGACTTCATTTCTCTTCTCTTGGGGATCACAGCCCCTGTTTGTTATAATAGTTCTTTCACTTGATGATCTGTCGTCATTGTTTTCCCTCTTCTCCTCCTCTTTCGTCCTAGTGTTTATGGCGGAGAGCTGTTCTTACAGCAGTTAGTCCTCCACAGCAACTCACTAGGCTTTTTCAAAAATTTCAGGATTATTATTGGAAATTTATAATTCCATATAACTTTTAAAGTCTTCTATTATAAAACCCTATTTCATAAAATTGTAAGTGAAGATGGATTTTATTACATTTTTGAAAATTGATTTTATATTGTTTTGCTTCCTTAGCCAAGAACATATTTTGTGCCAGGCACAGTGGTACATGCCTGTAATCCCAGCTACTTGAGAGGCTGAGGCAGGAGGATCACAAGTTCAAGGCCTTTCCAGGCAATTGACAACTTGTCTGAAAATAGAAAATAAAAAAAATGGGCTAGGGATGTAGTTCAATTGTAGGGCACCTTTGGATTCAATTCCCAGTACTGCAAAAAAAATTATTTATAATATAATGTATACATATATTTGTTATTCCATTTCTGGGGTCTTTCTCCACCTTCTTCAGCAACATGTTATAAATTTTCCCCCATACAATCTGGATTTGAGGATTTCAATTTATTTTGAAGATATTTTAGCTTTTGAATGCTACATTTCCCTGTTTCCATCTCTTATTATTGCATATGTAGAAAAAACATTCATTTAAAACTTATCTTGAGTTATTTATATATCCTGGAGATTAGTGCTCTTTCTGATGTGCATGTGGCAAACATTTGCTCCCAAAATGTAGGCTCTGTCTTCACCTCATTGATTGTTTCTTTTGCTGAGAAGAAGTTTTTTAGTTTGAGTCCATCCCATTTATTAATTTTTTGATATTTTATTTCTTGCACTTTAGGAGTTTCGTTAAAGAAGTCAGGGTCTAATCCTACGCGATGAAGATTTGGGCCTAGTTTTTCCTCTGTTAGACACAGGGTCTCTGGTCTAATACCTAGGTCTTTGATCCACTTTGAGTTGAGTTTTGTGCATGGTGAGAAATAGGGGTTTATTTCATTTTGCTGCATATAGATTTCTAGTTCTAGCACCATTTTTGAAGAGGTTATCTTTTCTCTGATGTATGTTTTTGGCATCTTTGTCTAGTATGAGATAATTGTATTTATGTGATTTTGTCTCTATGTTTTCTATTTTTGTACCATTGGTCTACATGTCTATTTTGGTGCCAATACCGTGCTGTTTTTGTTACTATAGCTTCGTAGTATAGTTTAAGGTCTGGTATTATGTTATCTCCTGCTTTACTCTTCTTGCTAAAGATTGCTTTGGCTGTTCTGGGTCTATTATTTTTCCAAATGAATTTCAAAGAACTCAGAAAACTTAACACCAAAAAAACAAACAGCCCAATCAATAAATGGGCTAAGGAACTGAACAGACACTCCTCAGAAGATATACATTTGATCAACAAATATATGAAAAAAATGTTCAACATCTTTAGTAATTAGAGAAATGCAAATCAAAACTACTATAAGATTTCATCTTACCCCAGTCAGAATGGCAGTTATCAAGAATACAGACAATAATAAATGTTGGCAAGGTTGTGGGGGAAAAGGCACACTCATACATTGCTGGTGGGACTGCAATTGGTGCAACCAATCTGGAAAGCAGTGTAGTGATTCCTCAGAAAACTTGGAATGGAACCACCATTTGACCAGCTATCGCACTCCTTGGTCTATACCCAAAGGACTTAAAACCAGCATACTATAGTAATGCAGCCACATCAATGTTTATAGCAGCTCAATTCACAATAGCTAAACTGTAGAAGCAACCTAGATGCCCTTCAGTAGATGAATGAATAAAGAAACTGTGGTATATATACACAATGGCTATTACTCAGCATTAAAAGAGAATAAAATTATGGCATTTGCTACTAAATGGAAGGGAGTTGGAGAATATCCTGCTACGAGAAGTAAGCCAATCCCCAGAAAACAAAGGCCAAATGTTCTTTTTGATAAATGGATGCTGATCCATAAAATGGGGTGGGCATTGGAAAAATGGAAGAATTTTTATTGGGCAAAGGAGAGGGAGGAGCAGGAAGGAGGTATGAAGGCAGAAAAGATGGTGGAATGAAGTGGACATCATTACTCTAGGTACATGTATGACTGCAAATATGTGCAACGCTATATCATGTAAAACCAGAGAAATGAAAAGTTGTGCTACAATTGTATACAATGAATTAAATGCATTTTGCTGTCATATATACCTA